TGTGTGATAACATATTGTATCTACAAAATATTTATTATGTAAGGAACTTTTTCGAAAAAATAAAAATAAGATGGTTATTTGTATAATACCGAGGTTTGTGAGAACACAGTGTCCTTAAAACAGATTCGCCTCATATGAGCGTCCGTTTCCCAGGATACAATGACAAACCGAATAAAATCCGGCAAACTAAAATTATGCGTGGACCACAATACTATAAAAAAAATTGGGGAAAGCCGAATAATGGTTAATTGTTATAGAAGAGTAGAATCGAAGAATGCATGGTCCTAAAGCCATGAAAAAATATATTTCAATGTCCATCCATATTTGTTTAAATGAAGGCGATCGTCCAAGGATTTTTTTCTCCAAAACATAACAATTGTTGGAGCTTTACGTAACTTTCTTATCTTCTGGATAACCTCGAATTAGATAGTTGATAGTTATCCCAAAGTTGTTTTCGACATCGAAGATAATATCGACGTCTTTATACTTTTAAAAAACGTGCTTTCCAATCAACGTATCTCTTGCATGCTTGTCATCTTTACGACATACAATCATAGAGCAAGTGTGATTACTAATATACTCACGTACTTCAAAAATTTCAACACTTTTTGTCTTCACCGCCCTCAAATACCAAGGACAACTGCTCTCAATACAAGCAACACATACAAGGTCTTTGTTGGTTTTACCAATTTGACTTCAAAGTGGTACCTCAAAAACAATAAAGGTTCTCTATTAATTTTTGTTTTTGGTATAAAAAAATAGTTACCTAGCAAATCTTCACTCTCTAGGATTATCACGGAAGATGGACAATGGAGCGAGCTCATAGAATAGCTTGCATTCCCAACCATAGCATATTCTGTTGAAAAATTATCACGCTCATCTTCTATGAATAAAGTGGTTCTTAGCGGACTTTCTCCATTTCCCATCAAACGTCCCCAATCAGCGTCGAGCTCCTATTGAATTTCATTATCCTCGGTCGGTGGAATTGGAGCATCTGGCAGGCCTCTGATGAAAATTTTCTCTTATGAGAAATTTGCTTTGCTCGCACTCCGCTCGCTCCCACCTATCGCATCTTCTAAAGGTACCATGGATGATTGATCATAAGTGTTCATTTTTCTTCATATTTCTTCAACAAGTTTATTCATAAGTGTTACGCAAAGGGGATACTTTTCACAAAAGATATATACCATTTCACTTTGTCATCACAACCAATCTTCACATGGGGAACTAGAAATTTGGTCATTCTCGTGTTAAGTGATAATAAATTTATTACATGCGAAATGCTATCAAATATTATGAGCTTCAAGACCGCACCTTGTAGCTCCAAGAATGAAATACTCAGGAATATAAAGAGGATTGGCATTCTTTTTATCGTCCTTCACATATCTCCATGTCCAAATACCATCCTTACTCTTTTTAAACTCAACATAGTGTCAACATAGTGTCATTCTTGTATCCACACCATCTCTGTTAAATTAATATCTAGAAAGAAAAAACTATATGTTCTACAAGAAAACCATGGAAACACATTTTACTAAATTAAGAGACAATATATTATTGCTGATGTTATATGTTACTTCATAATATAATATCAAAAATACAAGCATCTTCAAACTAAAAGGCAAATAACATATGATTTACTCATACCATGAAGACTATCTGTCCCCATTTACACTATCATAGTGTAAACGATAAGTGACACCAACTATAGAAACAATAAACATTTTCATAATTCCATTATGGCTGGATGGAGAGAGAGAGAGAGAGAGAGAGAGACTCAAACCAAACTGAGGATGAACAACTGAAGTTTCAACAGACCAAAGCAATTGCCCAAGCAAAAACAAAAACAGCTTAAAAACTGCAACACCATCATCACCCACAGTTTTTTCATCTAATCCTCCTCAAGATTGATGGAATCCTTAAATTTGCCATATAGAATCTTCTTCAGCTCCGCCATTTGAGCAACTATGGACTCCCTTTCCTCCTCCAGCTTCTCCAAGTTCTTGCTCGTCACATCCTTCATATCTTCAATCCTGCTCTCCACTTCATCTTTGGGCACATGAACAAATACCTCACCTATTTGGAAGCGCACAATCTCCTCATCTGTAAGGATCAGTTCGTTGCTTGCATCCTCAAGACTTTCATTGTTTTCCTGACCAAATTAGAAACGAGAAGCACATATAAGATTGGTGTACGAATTACGATGTGTAAGGTCAAAACATGAAGTTTGAAAGGAAGTGTGTCATTTGAGCAATAACTGCAATTGCGAGCCACATTTTGAATGAGATTACAACTTGTTACAAAAATAACCGGTTTACGTTTCGTCAACCTATAATAAGTTTGAGCTATCTTTCAAACTTACACATACCTGTTTGAGTATTCTATACTATATTACCAGTTGCATACTCATACTCAAGAGTGTGATGGCCTAACAATTGATGGATGTTTTAAATTATTCCAAAGTTATTAGTTGACATTTTATATACATCTTTATGAAAAGCAGATCAAACAAGATAGGGAAAAAATCCTTCTAAATAAAAAAGATTGGATATTAGCCTGTTATGCTTAATCATGCAATAAAAGTAAGATTGTACAACATCCAATCTGGACAAAGATTGGTGGGGAATGTTATAGTTAATAACCTGCTCCTAAATTCAAGTCAATGTTGCATCAATATAAAGCAGCCTGACCACTTATATATATGTGCCTGATAAATCCTGAACATGCATTTTTACAGGACTCTGAGTGCACTAGTTGATAATATACTTAACTTCAAGGAAAACATTTTTATATTTTTGTGCTTTTATTTACTTAACTTCAAGGAGAACATTTTTCCTTTTCTTTTTCCCTTTTTCCGTCAAGTAGAAAGATAACAAAAGTGATTCCATTGTTTCTTTAAATGAATAAGTCATTTCATCCACCAATGAATTGAACGATTAAATTTGTAAGCACAATAACTGAAGCATGTTCCATCTCATTTGCAAATTGAAAGTCCAATTGAAAAGGTTGACCACTAAATACCTGTTCTGTAAAACACAATCCTAAGGAGCTAGATTACGATACAAAAGAGTAATTCTTTCCCTAAAGCATCCTCTGATAATCACTCATTCAACCAGACAGGCAAAACTCCAGAATCCTGACACAACAGGACAAGTATCATTGACATGAGAATCCAATTACATCTCATTATGCCGAGGTGTTTTATTTTGTACAAATATTTTAGAGTTCTCTGGGTTAAACCTGAGGATACTTTATTTGCAACCCCTACCTCGCCACAAAACAAAGCAGCACTCCTAGGGAAGAGGAAAAGTCAGAAAACCCAAGTACATGGAACATTTATTGTCAATCAAGAATTAATGTTGCCTGTGAGCATAGTTCTCCACATTTGGGAGTAGGTAAAGTTCTTGAACATTACAATTAAAAAAAATATGAGAAAGTAGGCCTCAAAGTTCTCTGACACCATGTGAATAATCTTGCCTATGATTAAGCTTTTAGGTAAATTAGCTTTAAGACAAGCACAATATACAACCTTAACCTACAAGGCATAATTTTAATGCACATCCAGACCACACAGTGTTAGATTGTCATCCACATAACTTCAAGAACTTTCTCCAGTATGAATTAGCATTTCCATGACCAGTAAAAACATGCAGAGGCAGTTATTTCAATCGGGTTCCAAAATTCACTACATCATTCTAATAGCACATTTCAAGTTTCACATAGCAACAGTCTAACAGATAACATAATTGAACTTCAAGCAAATTGTAAAATTGGTATCATCACTAAGTTGCAAAAGGCACTATCGGATGCATTGGATCCTTTCTTTCAATAATCCTCCTCATTGGATTTGAAAGAAAGCACAAATTTCCCATCAGACACCATATTAAAAGATCAGTGCAATAAACCACATACCCTATCAAGCTTTTAATTGATAAAACGTAACTTCAATCATTAAACATCAACCATCAACTGGAAAACACAATACATTTTCTGAAGTGGTCGAAAATTGTGCTCCTCTCCAAGTCATTCTTTCTTTATCAGATACATTAAAATTAAATACTACTTCTCAAAAGATAATAAATAATGTATAAAACAAACAAAAATAGATAATTTGAGCTAGTCAACTAAATCAAATTATTTCCACACAATTTCAAGTAATCTACTACAGCAAAGTACACATCCACAGCCTCTTCCAGAGCCAGAAACATAACAAGCATGAAAATCACTTCATCCCAAGATCCATTCGCAAATATTAAACAAAGGGTCCCAGTTACAGATTGGAAAGAGGATAATGAAGACTAAATGAGGGAAAAAAACCCAACCTTGGCAATCTTGATTTCATCGTCTAGGTCGTGGAGCCGATTATTCAATCTTCCGAACTTATTGATGTTCTGCTGATCTTCCCACGTCACTTCAGCCTCCGACCCCGACGATCCAGCCTTGAAGTGGCGGAGAAATATGAGAAGTTTAAATGCAAAAATGAATCAAAACAACAGACTTTCAACAGTGCACTTCGATTCAGTATTACAAAGTTGGGAGCATTTTTCACGTTTACCTGCTGCATTGTTGAGCAAACTCGAAACAGAGAGCTAAGTTCGGAAGGGTTTGGCAGCCACCGAGAAATTGAGTAGAACCGAGATTTTGATAACGGGCAAAGAAACAAGTTACAGTAAGATCGGCTGAAACACGTATGAATTCTATTCTATTTCGAAGTAACTATTCGTAATTCGCCTCCAATCCAAAAACTCATTCTCAAACCCAAAAAAATATTCTCAGAATTATTATTCTTTTTACATCAACTATTATAACTTTTCAATACTACCTATATATTATACAAATTCACAAATTAGACCTATTTTTTTATAATTGATTTGCACAATATATATAAATTTACTGTAATTTGATCATTTGTGGACTAATTTTGTACATATAATAAATTCGTACGTATGAGTGACTCATATTTTGTATATTTCAGACATATGAATATATATATGTACGTGCATAAATTAGTCACCCATATGAGTGACTCATATTTTGTATAATTCCTACATAAATTTGTTTACTGTAAAAATAAGAAGAGAAAATAAATTTAATACAAAAGACATATGTTAATATGGAAATGTTATGGAGCCAAAACTTGACTGAAAAACGGATTATGAGAATCCGTTTTTCAAATAAATTTATTTGAAAAACGGATTCTAATTTATTTGAAAAACGAATTCTCATAATCCGTTTTTCAGTCAAGTTGGCTTCATAACGGAGCCAACGGTTGACTCCATAGCAAGACTGTATGTTAATAAAATGAAGGACTAATTTGATAAATGAAAAAAGAAGAATGTGTTTGCTACAGGAAAAATGCAAATATGGGGTTTGATGAGAGAGAAAATTGGCAAAAACTCATTTTGAGTTTGAGTTTGCAGTTCGGTTGGACTCTTTTTACTGCATTTTTTGCGTTTCGGAATTCGATTGGAGAAGGTCTTATTGGGTCAGCTTCAACATAGAGAGGTGGTTGGAAAATGGCTAATTTAAGGTTATGGTGATAACCTATATAATTGATAGTTTAGGACTATATTGTCGTAATTTTAGTCCGAGTTAACGAAACACTCAAAGGGTGTTAGATAATTCATACAAATGTCAAAAAATTATAAAATGGTCTCATAAAATATAATAAACTGTAAATTTGGTCTCAAGTTTGACAAAATTGGTTCTAAATATATTTTTATATCGCAAGAATAATCTTGTTGCTTTAAATATTATGAATCAATTTTTGAAAATTTATTATTCTTTATATTATGTAAATTGGACATTAACTTCATTTGAAATTATGTGTACATTAAAAAATTATAAATAACGTGAAAAAATTATTAATTTTGTTTTCTACGTTAGTAATATTGTTGTAAATATCTCGTAGTTATATCAAGTCGATTATTGAACTAGGAGCAATAATAGAAAATTAATAACAAGGTCATAAAATACTACTTGTATTTAAAAAAAATTATTTTAGGATAAATAACATTATATATTAAACTACATATAATTTGATATTAAAGAAATAGATAATAATATTATTATAATCAAGGTTATAAAAGTCGCTAAACCTCTATCACTTGGGAAAGGATTTGTCTAGACCTAGATAGAGTCATAAAAATATTAATAAATTTATTTTATCTATTTTTATACACAATTTACAAGTTACATTATATATAATATACTAATTAATATGATCAAATACAATAATTATGTAAAGGATAATACATCCAGAGCTATTATATTAACTTAAATATTATTATTATTTTAAATTTTATAATTAATATATATTTATTATAAAATTTAAACTTATTTTATTATAATTTGAAGAAAAAAAATAAAGTGTCCAAGAGTCGTCTAACATGCCTTGATGGCGCTTACGCAGTCGAAGAGTTGTTTAGGCAAAAATTATTGGGCATGAGTTCTGATATGAGATATTATACTAGATCGGCTTTAATGGATAAGAATGATTATATTGAAAAATAAGCCTACACATGGGCTAGGACGCGTGGCATGATAGTATTGGTCAAGCCCAACTTAGGCCTTAAGATATACTCCCCCTATAAAAGGGGCTAAGGTATCTCAAAACCTCATTCTCTCTGCATTCATATCATACTCTTGAGACTTGAGATTGGAGTGATATTGGCCCCGTTTGGTAGATAGCGGATTGAAGATAATTTGGCGGATTTGACTTAATTGAGAGGTTTGACCCGTCAAATCCGCTATTGAGCTTGTTTGGTAAATAGTTTATTTGATAAGCTTTTTGGACCCAAAACTCTAATTTAGAAAAGCTCATTAGAACAACGTTTTGGGGATAGAGGATTCACAAAAAAATAAAACTCTAATTTGTCTTATTTATTTTACAATCTACATTGATTTATGGTGCTAATAAATAATAATATGTCGTCTATATGATTAATTTATCTAGAAAAATATAAAATCCATAACTTTTTCATCAAGTGTTAGTAAATTTTTAAAAAAATATATATTTATAAATTACCAACTAAAGAATATTAAATGTTTTAATATATTATTGTTAAAAGAATACACCCTAAATAATAAAATGTCCTTATTGATCATTTTACAATGTCAAACATCTATAAGCTCTCAACTATTTACCAAACACTTATTTAAAAACCGCTAATGCAATCCGCTGGTCAAATCAGCTAATATAATCCGCTATCCGCTGATACAATCCTCTATCCGCTGATCGTCAATCAAGACTATTGACTTAAACATCATAGGCCCGACGTCGGGACCTCTTCCGGCATTGGTTTCTTGCAGGTACGGAGGCCGTCCGAGTTGAATGAACCTGGGTGAAGTCCATTTCACCAGCAGGTTCCGTCTAGAATCTAGCCCAATTTTTAAAAGACCGAATATAATTGAAAGTATGCTTATAATAAAAATATGAAATAATATTTATTACAATGATATGATATATAAAATTTAATAATATTTAGATAAAAATACTAATAAAAAATAAATATTATCAATTTTTCACATAATACTATCTTAACAAATATTATTTTATATTTTTATTTTATTAACATGTAGAATTACAAAAAAATTATTAATTAGTTTCATCGTTGTGTTTTGCATTTAAAAAATAACAGTTTTTATTGTATGATGATTTTATTGTTTATGATATGATGTAAAGAAATTAATGAGATATCAAATTTTATCAAAAGTATAACATTCAAATATCAAAATATATATAACTAGGTGAAATAATTATTAAAGTTAATTAAATTTTAAGAGAAAGTTGCGAAATTGATCCTGCGAAATTGGTCCAAGTTGCAAATCAAGTTCCATTTTGACCAACAATTTGACTAACTGATCCTGCAAAATTGGTCCAAGTTGCAAATCAAGTTCCATTTTGACTAACAATTTGACTAACAATGAGACCAAAAGCGCAACCAAAAAAAAAAAATAAAGGACAATTTTCGCAATTTGTAGGACCAAAAATGCAATACACCCAATGTTGTAGGACTAAATTTTCAATTTTCTCCTGAAAAGTTTAATCACGTTAAACTGTGGAAAGAAGATATTATCATCAAGTCAAGGTTAGGAAAATCGGCAGAATGGAGTTATAAAATTGTGGAGGTAAATTAGAATTTTTACAATTCTAGTGAAGATTAATGATAAAAAAAACGATGAAAACGCCCTTAAGGGAGTTTGTCATTCCGCATTGTACTCTCCAAGGGCTTTAAAATAAAGTTAAAACTATGATCCACTTTGAATTATCTCAAGAAAAACTATCTTGAAAGAAACAAGTTTAGAACTGCATTCCCAGTGTTCTTAGAACATTGCAATTCTCATCATAAAAGAAGGGTCTTCCCAATTGAATAAGATGAGATTTAATGTGCAGTAAAAGAAATCTTGTCGAAAAAGAACAAAGACTGAGTGAGTATCTTTTCTTATTTGCATGCAGCACTGCAACAATGTTAAGGAAAACGAGCGTCATTAACTTACTAGCCCTTCACAATTTGAAATGAAAAGAGGCATGCATCACTACAACATAACTGCTCCAGTTGAAAGCATAATTTTTTTAGTGGCCATCCAAGTTGATAGGCTGGCGTAGGAATCGCTCCATCTGGGCAGCCCTAGTCTTTATAGACATGTCAAACACTTTCTGCCCAAATTCCACCACAATCCCACCAAGAATACTAGGATCGATCTGCACAAGTACCAACAATACAGACGTGTAATAGTTGCTTCACTTCAAGTAAATAACATAACCAAACTTTTTAGGAACACAGAGAAAAATGTTTCACTTCAAATTTAAAAGAGAACGCCTTAAGCTAGTACGAATATGCTAGTAGCGTACGACACCCCCTTGAGGTTTTTAGTTTAATTAACAATCAACAATCTCTTGAGGATGCAATTTGTAAAATAGAAACAGATTAAAAGAATAGTTATAACCATGGACGGGTGTTCTACAAATAAATTAACCTTCACAAACAGTTTTGTGGTTCAAGACTTATTTTTAAATGGGACTAGTATCCATTTACCTTCTGCTCAACCTTGACTTTTGTCCCTTGTCCAAGTATATCCTGCAGTGTTTCCTTCAGTTCTTTCTCCTCTTCTGGAGGTAAAGGCTGCAGAAACAAGAGCTCAGGATATGCTAAACAAGAAAACGGAGCAGAAAATATAAGCAAAAACTAATAGCGAACTATGTGCTGGATAAAGGCAGAAGATAACCATGATTCGAGCATAGGGTTCGTACACGGTATACTGGAAGGAAGATTGCACATCAAGTTTTCAAATCTATAGACTTTGCAAGTAAATATTATCGACCCTAAAAACATCCAAACATATATAGTGTGCAATTATATATGTTCAGAGGCATATCGTAGAGAGACGCAATCAAGCCAGTCAAAGTGGTGCACACAAAATCAAGTAATAAGAAATTGGAGTAACAGGTTCAAGGATAACTAGCTTACTATAAAGTTGCAAAAACATGTATATAGAAAAAATAAATTAATTGCAAAATCATGTAAATGCCAAAAACCATGTAATTAGATTAAATCTAAATCTGCAAAACCATGTAAATACCCACAGGAATAGGACCCCCCAAGCATAATAGATACTTCATAATGGTTTGCTTAAACATCAATCTCCAAAAATTTTCAATCCATTTAACACTTTCCTGTTATTCCAGTTTTTCATTGTAACTTTTTCGACAAAAATGAATCATATGGATGTGATTGGCATTGGATACACTTTCATTAAAACTAGACAACAGTGACGAAAAAATGGGGGAAAGAGTAAAGGATTCACAAGAAGCTACTGAGATATATAAATAGTAATGATTAAAAATGATTGGTAGTAGTATTTGTGCTGGATGGATACTGCATTTCGTAGAAGCGTACTAGTGATTTGTTTTTTATTTTAGAAATTGCGTAGATGGGCATGAGCTAGGGAGAGAAAAGGTGAGAATAAGTAAAATAGTGTGTTTTTTTTAATTGATCAAACATTTTATAAGAATAGATTCTTTAATGGAATGTCAACTAAACCTTTTTGCATCCTATCGTGTCTGCATCTCACTTGAGAAAGAAGCTGAGATTGGGATCACCAGATTGCAGGTCACAGAACATGGAACGAGAAGAAGAGGTGGCGTATAAATATTTTTGTGCTCCTCACTAAATACTGTGGCGACGGAGGCGTGGTTTGTTTCAACATATCTGGATATTATAGGGAACAATCTGTATATATTGTCATTTCACTAGAAGTCAGTGAATTGCCTTCGTGAATCACCTTAAAGCTAATCCTTTGTATATAGTATACGACACTATTCCCATTTCCTTTTGATATATTGCTACTAGAACTACTAGTAGCACATTTAATGAAATACTACCTACTGTAGAGTTTTACATTAAACCATCTAGTGTGTTCAACATGTAATACTCGACTACTCGAGACAGCGAAATGAGAACAATAGGAAAGGATGGTTGTTTAATTGTCTGCTGTTCTTCATTTTTATTATCTGTGAATCCATGCAAACCATATCTCTAGCGCAAAGAATTGAACTTACAATCACAGTGGTCACTGTAGCTTTAACTTCCCCCCTATGAGCCATAGTCAGCTCAGAGAATCTATGTACTATACGTTCCAAGTGACCCAGCCTCCCAGATTCGGCAACAATAGCTGAAAGATGAAGAACAAGTTGCCCATGAACACCTCTAGCAAGGAAAGTGGTTATAATATCATTTACATCAACAAATAAAATCCAGAGAAGACCAAAAAAGTATAAATCAACAAAAGATTGGCGTCGCAATCCATTTGCATGATATTAAACCATACCATGATATTCCTAGTCAAGTAAATGCTGTCAAGCAGCATGCTCAATAATTCAATAATGTAGAGGTGACGATGCCTTCATGAAGAATTAATTCTTATTCTGTGATGATTCATGAGCATGCTCTTCATCATAAAATACAACTTTAAAGGAAATAACTTTCTCAGGTTGGACAAAGCTGAAAACAGTTTTTAACAACTGACGGGATCATTCCAGGTTTTCTGGCCATCGGACACGTACAAGCATTTTGCAGTTAAATGTATTTGAGGATCATGGCATGAAATGCATTCTTATCAGCTATCTGTATCGAACCCCTCTGCTGCCCACTTGTTTCTGTAACCATATTCAGGGAACTCCTTTCGTCTATTCAAGAATCTTCCTTCACTCATTAAACCACATAACACTTTCATGAAAGAAACTCATACAACCCCAACCCCAACCCCATAACAAAAGAAACGTCCTACTTTCCTTTGTTACCTTTTAGCAAGAGCACTTTAATTGCCCACTCTCAAAACCTTTCCTATACCACCATCATATTCAGACAGAATCCACCATCACCAAGTAATTCTCTAGCAGCTAAATTGTGGTGGTTATTTATTGATAATTGGGAACCAAGTATACGTCAAGATCAAGTGCAAGGCGACATCTGACGATTTAATAAATTTAACATCCAAAACGTGATCTCAGCCATTTCTGATTCAAGGGCTGGACAAACATTGCAACTCATAATCAAAAGCAAAGAGGAACATCCACATGTAAGAAAACTAACCCAAGAAGTTCTTCATGGTTTCCGAAAATCTAGCTCGAGCACCAATGTCATTTATAGCCTTCACTCTTGTATCTGCAGTAACTGATAAATCCTTCATGAATTGAGAAAATGTCGGGCTATTCTTGGAGGCCTGGATTAAAGTATTCAGCTCAGTCTCAACCCTGTCAAGCACATTGGCTTTAACAGCTGCAATGTATAGAGCAGAGGCATAGTTCCCAGAGACACCAAACAATTTCAAAGGAACCTGAAATGCAATAAACTAAATTAGAACATGAAGGCTCCAGAGTAGCTATTCTTTTTTTTTTTTTTCCAACGAGTTATCAGCTAAGCATCTACTATCTCTAATACGAATTAAAAGATGAAGGAAACAAATAAAATCTAAAACTAACAACATAAAAATAAGCTTAAACAGAATATACAGAAATAACAGAGAAAAATACACCAAACGTATGATTACTGATAACAAGACAATAAACACGATCAGGTTTGACGCCCCAATTTGCTGTGCACGCATACTGTACTGGCTTCTAATGATAATCATGTAGGGATAAGTTTCGCTAAAAGGACAACATAATTTATAACAAGATTACAAGAAGACAACTTTCAACACTTTTTGAGATAGCCAGACTGAAAAAGATAATAACTATATCACTATCCATACAGGTAATACAGAAAATAGTAGTGGACTCTACTGATTGACGAGTGACGACCACTGATTTCTCAAAGATCCATAATATGCTAGCAATTAGCAAGTCTTTACTCTTTAGCTAGCCAAAGCTTGATTTGATTTAGCATACAAACATGAACATGCAATCCTTCTAATTTATTACCTCCAAAAGAAATATAAAAAAAAAAATCATAAGACAATTTACCTTGATATTCTGCTGTTTTTCGGGAGGACCACTCGCATAACTTCTTGCAAACTGAAAAGCATACAACCAGCTTGTAAGAATCCAATTTCACCATATATACATGCAATAATCACAATACTAAAATTAACGACTCATATATAAAACCAATTTTTTGCTTGAACCTATTGTATAACTAGAAATATGTCATATTAATTAAAGCTTTACAAAGCAATAGATTTTCAACAAATTGTACCAGTCGCTGATGGAGAAAACCCTAAAGATTAACCACTAATATTCGGTAAAAACAAAAACAACATTTCAATAAACATACCAACAAAAAATAAGGCAAAAAAGAGATTCAGAAACATTTCAAGGGGAAATCATCTTAATCAAGACGAAAAAGATTGTTAAAAGTGAACACATCCGCATTCTTATGACGTACCGCGAAATGGCCAAAACCTTTTCTATCAACGAAGAATGAAAGAGACAAAAATGAAAGCAATCATTTCCAAGCAAAAAAGCTGAAGTATATAAATTTATGATCTTACGTACCTCGGGCTTCGAGATAGTCGGGCAGATGCCGCCAATCGGAGCGACGGATCTCTCGGCAGCTGAGAGATTGCCGGCAGCAAGGGCTCGGCGGAGGAGAGGAAGGCCAGATCTAAAACGCGCTGCCATCGCCATTATCGAATTTGCTTATTTTCTTCTTCCCTTTTTTCCGCTTCAATTTATTCTTTTCTTTTGGTTCACCTTCTCATTTACTGCGCTTTGAAGCACTGTGAATAGTGGAGGGGAAAGCAATTGTAAGCTGAATGATCTCTCCCTAGCCCTAAAGTGCGAAAATTAGGTGCTACCGTGGTCATTAGGTGACACGTGTAGCATGAGATAAAGGATTTAACGTGCAAAATAGATGAGTAAATTTTTTTTTTCGCCCCCAATATATACATAGACTTTCTTTTTACACACTGTTCTATTAAAATATTTATTTTTTCACCTAACAACTTAAAAAATTATATTCAATATAAAAATCAAATAAACCGCATAATTAACAATTATACGAAATTTTGTTGCATATATATCAAACTCAGACGTATAGTTAATTAGACGAAACACATGTCAATTGTTAATTGAATATCCAAATCCCCAGCACAATTCTTGATATGCGCATTATTTAGCATATATAGTAATCACATATCCAAATTGATAGTTGCATATTTATCATTATGCGACATTTTTTCGTATATTTTATGACTCGCATATCCAAATCGGACACATAGTTAACAAGTATGAGAAACATTTACGCATATTATATAATCGCATATCCAAATACACCACATAATTTACCATATGCGAGAAAATTCCGTATATTGATTTATCGTATATCCAAATCGAACGTCGTATATGTTAGGATTATGCGATTTTTTTCGCATAGTTTTCAATTCACATATCCAAATGTATAACGCCATATAATTAACGATTATGCATTACGTGTTTGCATATTCACGAACTGCATAATTTGTGATTATCTAAATCAAATTATGCAAAAATTATATCATGTATAGTTACTGCATGTGTATAAACAAAAAAAAAAAAAAAAAAAAAACTTAGACATATCCAATATCAGACTCGTATAATTTATTAATATGCGAATATATTTTTCATATGATTTGAATAGTTACGTACTGCATTGATCAACTTCTTTTTCCCCGTCAATTAGACACGCAAGATGTTGATTTTTATTGTCAGAAATCTTACTACCATCTAGATCATATTCTCATTCTTTTATGTCTACATTTACTACTATTTAATTCTTATTCTTCTTGCATACATTTACTATTTCTTCTTTTTCTTCTTGTCTGCATTCGACTGCACTTCATTTTGTTCAAGCTTTAAGGCACCATATCTACTGCATTTTCTTTTCAAACTTATGTAGCTCTTAATTTTATTTCTTTTAAAAATTACACTTTAATGGCTAGCAACCGTGTTAGATTATGCGTGCATTATTGCAGTGAGTTTTCCTGGGTAACTATGTTGGTGGTGTTGTAGAGCTGATGCAAATAAATTATGGTCAACAAATGTATTCTGAAGTGGTTTCTCATGAGCTAATAGTAAAGGTCGATCCTTGTAATTTTGAGTACATATTGTAGGCCGCATTTGGTGGAAGACGCGAGTTACGAATATGAACCATGTGCATAGCACAAGCTACGTGTTAGTTTTCTTTTTTTTTTTTTTTTTAATTAACAGACAAAACCAAAAAATCAAAAAATCATATTCCAAGCGCATCCCTTAAGGTTTTCTTTGTAATGTGAATCCCAAATTAAGCAAGTTTTAGTCGCAGAAAAATCCGGTCATCTGTTTAAATTAACAAATATAGGTTGTACACCTTACCAAAATGGGAACTGAAGCTGTTCATCTGTTTAAATAACAAATATAAGTCGTGTACACCTTACCAAAATGGGAACTGAAAGTGCAGTCTTGTAATACAAAAACAAAATGCAATCCTGAAAAAAAATATTATTTAGACATACATGGGGACAAGAAAAGAAAAAAAAAAAACAAATGTCTGACTCACATTACATAATAAACTGCAATCAATATATACCATTATACCAGACTGCCTGTTCAAATATTTTTCAAGAAAATCACTATGGCTTCCGCCAGGCTACCGGTCTGCAACATATAGAGAAAAGGAAAGATCGAAATCATAATTATTTGCTGAAAATTAAATTTGAACACAGCATCATGGTAAACAACTTTATTATTTTTAACCAGTCTCCCGAGTAACAAATGAATTGGTAATCGATAATACAAAAAATAAATGTATGGCGAAAAATATAAACAAAAGAATGAAAAGAATAGACTTAATAAATATGCAAATTTTCTGTGCCCCATTTATTTCCTCTATATCATTTTATACTCTTAACTTGAAAGAGTGCATGGTTTTAGAAACCAGAAGACGTCTAAAGATCTCGCATCTTTTTCAGCAGCAACCCTGTTTATCTCCTTGTTCATCTCCTTCACATCTTGTAGTTTAGCTCTCTCCTGATTCTGCCCATAATGTGTGGGTTTATTCATAGTCAACAAAACAAACTCTATTGAAAAATAATATATAAAGCAGCTATGAGATTCAGGCCATGTAGTTAAAAAAAAAAACATAACAGAACCCTGTTGTCTATTAAAATTTGTAAATTCATCTCATATTTCTCTATTTGTCACATAAATTCACCCCTCTCATCAAGATAAACACAAATTTAGTTACATAAACTGCCTCTGATTACGACTTCAGAAGAAAAGTGAGCATTTAAAGATTTGAAAAATAGTTGATCCCTTTTCTCCCAAAGAACTAGACCAAAAGCTCAAGGGCATTTTCTCAATAACCCTATTTACAATAAGTTGCTGACAAATGTGACTTCCAGAGCATATTATGGATTTTCTTCATCAACAACAATATCCAATTGAATCAATAAGCAAATAAGATGTAATGATTATCAGTGGAAGCTTACCAGAGGAGGCCTAATTCTCGAGGGTTTAGGCGTTGATGCTGTAGAATGCCCCTGGCCGGCAGAAAAACACTGTGGGGTTGGTGGACAAGTCCGAATATGCAACAACTTATTCACCGATTCTTGGCCTTTAACATTCTTCGTATCAACACGAATTGGGGTGTTCTCTCCATCTCCATTCCTTCAGCAAGGACATATATATTAACAACGTCGATGTTAATCATGTTCATTATTTACATCTAGAATTTGAATCATCTATAAGTAGAAGGCATTGCAAAAGTAATGAGAAGTGCAAGGGTAAAGAGAAAACTTTTGCACTTCATAAAGAGAGCTTTTTCATACTTACTTTCTTATAAGTTTTGCTATTAAAACGCAGCTAATTAAGGTCTCGGCAAGCAGTAGAAATTTAACATTTGCATTAGGAAAAATCAAATCAGTTTCTATTCAACAAAACGAGAAAAGCGGGGGGAAAATCGAAACTTCACTTTTTCCTCCTCAGCTTCACCGTAGACACACTGCTGGTCCCCAACACCTCACTTTTCTCTTTATTCAACTCCAGCAACGGCTTTCTCTCCTTTTCTTGATCATTCAAAGCATCTAAATTCTCATCCGCAAGATCTTGAGCCCCCTGCTGACTTTTCACATCATCACAATCCATATTCTCCCGATTTCTCGCACGAACCGCCAGTTTCTTCAAGTCGTTGCAAAACTCAGCTACTTTATTCAGTATAGTGTCCCCGCCTGAGAACAGGTTTCTAGCTGATAAAGTGCTTCTGAGCTTAGGCGCTCGTTCGCTCTTCATCATTGGGTTGTCTTTGGTTGATTTGTTATCTGCACTGGATTTAATTGCCTCTTTTACGGCTTTTATAGCTTTGTGGTTTGTGGGGGTCGATAAATTGGGGTCTTGATTTTCGCCGTCCTCAATGTCCCTGTTGTGCTTGGTAGCCTTGTTCGATAAACCAAAGGGTTGATTTAACCCTCTCTTCTTGAGTGTTGCATCTCTTTAATTGTTAAAAGAAGAAGAAATAAGTTAGGTTGGATTGGAAATTCAAGAGGATAGTAGACACTTGCAGACATGCAATTTTCGACAATACCTCTTCAATTTATCACCGAGTGGAGGAATGTCGGATACGCTAACTGATCTCCGGTGCTGTAATAAAGCAATTAACTACGAAAGTGAGAAATTAATTACAAAAACCCGATTCAAATGAATTTTGTGCAAGGATTGAGCTGATGAAGATGAGTATACACAGCTGGATGAAAGTGAGATCTTACGAAAATGGAGGAGAAAATTGTTCCCCTACACGATTATTATAACAGTATTCGTGGAGAGATCAACAAACAGAGACTTATGAAAGATAAGCATAAAGGGCATCAATCCAAGCAAGAATGGACATAAAATGGAAAATTTATGTGCAGACTTGGTAATTTATGCAAGTTAGCTGTAGAATCTTATGAAAGCTGCAGAATTTGTTTCAGTTCAGTCCAGTATTTTCCAATGACACAACAATCATCTCAAAATAATTAATCCAAAATTCTACTAAATGTTCCTGGAAAAACAAAAACAGACTGTAAAGAAAACAAGAAATGGGAAGAACATAAACCTTAGAGTTGGAAGTGGGCGTCCTCTTCTCCTCATTTAAGAAATCTTCAGCTGTCTTTGGGTGCTTACAACCTAATTAACAAAACCCAAAATAAGAGGGAAAAAGAATCAGTACAAAAAAAGTGAAACTTATAAAAACCATTCCAGATAGTAATTAACCAAGAAAACAAAAACTCACAAATTTCTTCATTTTATCATATACATAAATATCTTCTTTTTTTCATTTTTCCTAATTTTTGGGACTTACTTGAACGACAAAACCAGGCGACGTCATCAAGGGGCTGATCTGGGGCAGAGAAATCAACCCATTTTGGTGCATTTATATGCTCGTACAGCTCGTCCTTGACAAATCTTGAATCTATGCTTTTCCAGTCAATACTGGCCACCTCCATGCGATTCTAATGAGCTTAAATTATCTGCGTTCCAAATAGAAACCAGGGGGAAAAGAGAGAGGAAAATTGTAGAATCGCAGAAAAATGATAAATGAAAAATCAAGCAGTGAAAGAGAGAGGACGAAGGAACATGAAGAGCTTGAGAATGGATAGGCTGCACCCGTTATCAATGCGGTCACAGGGTTTTGCTAGTTTAATTCTGATAATTTTATATTCATTATTTCTTTTTTCGACCGTTGAGCGATTTTTGTTTTCACATTTATTTTGTGATCAACGTCTATTCCAGCACCTGAGATGAGGCTGGTAACGTAAATATTGGACTTTCGTAAATGCTGCTTATTTACCCGTGTAAGTATGTATACAATTGTTACCTTCTCCCAAGTCCCAGGTTAAACTAAGGGATCTTAGAAAAAAAAGGGTTAAACTTAGGGATAAATGGTTAACCACTAGTTCCAAGAGCCATCTACGAGCCAGATACAAAATTAAAAATTACGCTTAAGTTAAGACTAACTAGAAAATAGCATAGTCGTGACTCGTGACCTTTTGTTTTTATCTTTTTTTTAAGCATAGTCATGACTTTAGCACAAGAGATTTGGGTAAACTTTAGCACAAATATATTTGAAGCTTGTGGGGCTAACTGCTCATTCTTCTATAAAATATCTTGGGCGGTTTCTTGGTATTCGGAGATAAAAAAGAAAAAAGAGAGGTCTTTGATTTTGTGTGGTAGGCAATAAGTATAGGTTAATTAGTTGGAAGAACAAGTTTTTATCAAGTGCAGGCAAATAAGTTTTAATTAAAGGTGTGATTAACTCTCTTCTTTTGTTTGTCATGTCTTGTTTCAAGTTTACTGTAGGTATTTGTAAAGGAATTGCTTAGGTCACTGCTCATTTTTGGTGGAGTAAAGGTGATGATCACTTTAGGGGGACGAGTTGGAACCTACTCACTGTGCCTAAGAGACAATGAGGGCTATGGTTTCAAGACATAAGATTGTTTGATGAGGTCCTCATTGTGAAACAGTTATGGAGGATTTCCACTCAATCTGATCTTCTTGTCAGCAAGATCCTCAATAGCAGATATTTCCCTAATACTTCTATATTTGAAGCTGTTAAGAAATCCTCCTCATCTTGGTTGTGGAATACGTGGGTTGAGGTGCTGCCTGTGTTCAAAATGTGTTTCTGGAGGGAAATAGATCTGGTAGAAACACAAGGAAAAAGGATGAAGGATGGGTGCTTAAGCTGGGTGTATTGCCTCCAAAACTAAATAGTAGTTCAAACACTCTCCTCCTTGGGTGGGTCAGTGATTTAATAGAGGAGTCAGGGTGTAATTGGAATGAAAATTTAATCATAAATCTATTCTCTAAAGATGATAGTAATGCCATCCTTGACATAGATACCATCAACCCTGAAAGAGAAGATAGATGGAGGTGGGCCTTGACCAAGAAGGGTTTATTTCAGTTGCTGACTCTTATGCTTATCTGGTAGAAGAAAAAGTGAAGCTGCTTGATATAGTCGTGGGAAGTAACTCATTCAGGGGGGACTCGGTGGTGAGGGGAAGAAGTTGGAAGTTCAGAATCAAATGGAATATATAACACTTCATGTGGAAGTGTTTTACTGGAGTTCTCTCGGTTAGTTTGAATCTAAAGAAGAGAGGTCTTGATGTTGATGCAATCTGTAGATAATGTTGATGCAATCTGTAGATCGTGTGGAGAAGCTGAGGAACCTATAGAACATGTGTTTCTTCACTGCAGCAAGGCCAGGGGAGTTTTGGAGATTGGCTCCAATCTCTTGGGATGGGATTCAATCAGAGGGTGGTATCTTTAAACAGCAGTGGTGGCAAGTAGGGGTGAGTATGGGTCGGTACGGTTCTGGAGATTTATCAATCTCCGAACCGTACCGAAGTTCAGGGATCACTAAAATTCAATCTCCAGAATCGTACCAAAAAATCCGTTCGGTTCGGTTCGGAGATTTTATTTTTCGGTTCGGTTCGGTTCGGTTTTCGGGACTATCGGAACGGTTCGGTTTGGATATTCAGAGATTTCTTATCATTTTTTAAAATTTTTTAAGTGACCACCTATTTATATTTTATTTTTTATATATATTTTATTTTAAATCCAACATTCATCAATACTTCATCATACTAAAAATTTTATTTTTACTCGCTTGGCACACGTACCCTCGATAGACAAAAGACAAAACGAGCGCTGTCGCTTGTGTGTCAAGATGAAGGGCGGTATCACATTCACTTGCTTGCCACCCCCTTTCCCCTTTCTCCCATCAACTTTAGAAGTAACCCTAAATTTTAGTTAAGACTAAATTCAACTAACATTGAAAATTTAAAATTCAAACAAAATATAATACAGTTTTATATTAAAGTAATATTTATTTAACCTTCCATACTATGTTAGTTATAAGATAAACTAAGGCTAAGTATCGACAACTTTAAGTAAAGCTTAAATATTTTTTTTTAAATCTTTAACCTTTCATACAGGAGAAATTCAATTGTAGATCAAGTATTAGTATACATGAAATTTAAGTGAATCTTAATTGTTATTACTATATTTCATTTGCATTTGAAAATTTTTCAAATTATATAGGATCAAAGTTGACATGAAATATATTAATAACACGCATCTATTTTTATAATTCGGTTCTTAATTTTAGTTCTTTGGTTCAGTATGGTACGTGACGGTTCGGTTCGGTTTTCGATACGAATTTTTAAAATCTCCAGAACCATACCAATTATTTTTTCGGTTCGATTCGGTTCGGAGAAAGTATCCATTGACAAGTGTGTGCTATTGACCGAGTCCCATGCTCAGCCCTAATGGCAAGTGTGTGCTATTGACATATTTGAAATTTCTGAAGCTAGAATTCAATTGTCGACCTACATTCAGTGGTGGCTTTGGAGGTACAGGAATTTGTGGATTTTCAACTCAGAAAACTTGCCAGAGACAATGATTATCAATAGAGCTATACTGGAATGAAGAGAGTTTTGTTCTGTGCATTAGCTTTTGATTCTTTGCTTTTGGAGCAATCTATGGTGTTGTTGCGGTTCGCTAGTTTATTTAGCTTTGGGCTTTGTTTTTGTTAATTTCTGTGCTTTTGTTTAGTTTTCTGAGTTTGGTGCTTGTGGTTATGTTGTTTGGCTATGTTAAGCCTCAGGTGGGTGTACCTGCTTGACACTCCTATGATTTATAGACTTTGGGTAGACCACTCTGTGGAGTGACCTTCTCAGTTCATTTTTCTACCTCGTGGTAGGATTCTTTTATTTTGAACTTGTTTCTGTTTTGATGAGTATTTTCGATCG